GGCCAGGGATCAATAGATCACACAGACAGAAAGGGCAATGCTGGCATATGGCTTGGCCCGAAGAAGAACAGCATTTATCTCCCAGTAACTTCATGTTTACGGAATAATTAAGCTATGTCCCAGGCAAGGCTTTAAATGTTTTGCATCTAATGACATTCCATCCTCAGAGTTCTGAGATACGCATTCTCCCGGTCTCTGTTTTACGGATGAGGAAGACATGGCCTGAGATACAACAAGTGCAAGAGCTGGGTTCACACCCAGGCCCAAGGGACCCAGAGGTCTGCTCCTCAGAACAGGTCCTGAAAGCGAGGTCAGGTGACCTTCAGACGCCCAGTATTCTTGCTGAGAAGCAGGGGTATCATGTGCGTGGGGTGTACACACACACACATACACACACACACACTCATTCACTCACTCACTCACTCACTCTGCAGAGCCAAGCAGCAGAACCTTACCTTCCTGCAGTCTCTGCAGAACACAGACGAGCTGCCCAGGAGGCCCAGCACCTCCCCGCAGAGCAGACACTGGGAGAGGCCGTTGCCCATCACGTTCCGCCTCATGGTCTCCAACCGCTCCACCAGGCGCCTGCAGCACCGGACATGGTATCAGAGGCCTTCCTGTCTCCCACGTGGACCACTGCCCAGTACAACCGCACAAGGTGCTGTGTGCTGCTCCCTCGTGTGGGACCGTGCTCACTGCCCCTTCCCCGGTTAACTCCTACTCATCCATTCACTCTGCAACCATTCATGGAGAACTTACGCTTTGCCAGAGACTGTTCTAGAAGCGGGGAATATGGTCGTAAACTTGCCAAAGACAGACATGGTCCCTGCCCGTGCGGAACTTACAATGGGTAAAGGGAGGGAGGCCAGACGGCAGCTAGGCAGCAATCCTCTGAAGCACACCCTACTGGGGGGGCGGGGGAGGCCATTGGGGACGGTGCCCAGAGAAGGCCTGCCAGAGATCAGTGATATCACATGGAGAATGGGGCCAGTGTTAGAGTTAGAGTAGACGAGTAGACACTGCAGCCAGTGTTCGTGAGCTAGAGGTAGAATGGGTATAGGTCTGACTGTGTATCTTCACACACACGAGTTTGTAGTCTGCCTAGTCGTCAGAGCTGGACCCTGGAGACCAGGCCAAGGGCTGAGGACAACTTAGAGAGCTCTCCGATTGGAGATGGCCTAGCTTGCTAGGTGGGAGCTGTCGTGGGTCAGCCTCAACCCAACAACCTCCCTCAGCTGAGCCAAGGCTGACCCTTAGTGTGCAGACCAAAC